ATCTCACTGGAGCCAATCCTCATTTAAAAAAAAAAAAAAAAAGAAGAAGAAGTGTTTCCATATTCCATTTTCTCCGTTTTAGGAAAAAGAGGCTGGGGTCGGATAAAGAAAATACTCTCCTATGTTTTCTACATTCAGAATAACCAAAATAATTTTTAAAATAAACATAAACTTAGGTTTTGGATGTAACTGGATTCATCTAATGCAAGCAGTAAATATAGCTATGCTGATTTACATTGTGGGAAATCTTACTAATAATCTCACAGATAAATTTTTAATATGGTGATTCTTCATTTTCTCACCGTGTCATATATATTTCCACACCTCGGATTCTTAAAACTCTGTTCTCTACTCTTCCCAATTTTTTAAAATATATACTTCAAGAAACAGGCCATTTCAATAGTGGTCACATTGCAGTTATTAATGTTTTATACAAAATCATACCGCTTGCCTATACTTACTACTTCCAAGGCACTACCTGAAAGGTAAAGATCTACCATTTCAATCATCATTTAAAAAATCTTTTCACTCTCAAATAATTTTAATATTATTTGAGAGCCACACCCTTTGATGGCACATAGGTAGCCTGACTTCAGCTTTACTAAAAATCATTGTATTGAACTATCTCCACTCAATTCAATCGTTGTATTGAACTCCTCCAGACGAGCCTTCAAATTAACTATTCCTGTTATTCCATATTTCACCAGCGGCTCTTTTATATATTCTTACAGACAAATGCTAAAGAGAATTTAAGTAGCATTGAACAAGAAGAAGTCCACATAACTAACTTTTTGAAATGTAGCAATTTAAAAGTTTTAGAGTAGTTTAATATGAGGTATGTATATTCTTGTGGCATTTTTAGAATGCTAAGGGACAAAAGAAAGAGTAAGAGAAACATCTCAAAAAATCTATTTTGTCAACACAGTTATTTTATCAACACACTTGTATACAATAAAAGGTTGAAAAAAATGCTTTGTTGCTCTTCCTGTTCATTTTTATCTACTTCCAAGTTCACTATTATTGAAAGAATTCATATTAGCATACGCTTACCGTGTTCATAATACATTTAACTCTGAATGTTCTCATGAATATCATGTATCTTACAAAAGAAATTATAGAAGAATTAGCATTTATAACCAGTCTTTCCATAGGAAGAAAGTTTAGGCTATCATCACTGATATGATAAATACTCAGTGGTTCTTATGTTGCAATGCAATTTTTAAGTACAAAAAGAACTTCTGGATAAAATGAAAAGTACATTACGTAATATATTCTGTGCATCTACTCAATAAGACTGTTTCTGAAATCAAAACTTGGGACCTAAAGTTAAGCTTCTGTATTCACATGCTGGTAACTAAGTTGCTTTCCAAAAATATAGGCATTCATTTTGCTCTCAAGCTTTTGAGTCATTCAGAAACTGATCTTCAGATTTGCAAGGTCAGTAAGATCTGTCTGAGAAAGTACGCTACATTTCCATGAGCTATTGGAATTTTTAAGTCAATAGAAATCAGCTTAATACAATACTAGAATTTAGGATATAGCCCAATTAATACCAGAGAACATACTAGGTCATATGATCATGCCCTGAACTTTATAAATTATACTGAAAATATATCCATTGGCTTTTAAGAAGGTCTAGTAAGCTAGCTCAGACATATCTATTGCAGATAAGTAGGGCAAGATTCAATTGTGAAAATGCATGCTCTATCAAAATCAGTGGTTCCAAGAAATCTAATTTACTTGCAAGAAGCCTGCCGGTACTATGTGATTTCACTGCATTCCTAAACCATTAGCTGAGGAGGCCCTCAGCAGTCAAAGGTCAGTAGATTCCTGCCATGGAGTGTGGGCAACTAAGATCCTGAAATGACATGAAATGAATCCCATCCTTATGTTCTTAAAAACTACAGACATTATTTTCCAGAGACCATTGTGGAAGTGACACCTAATTTATTTCTATCTATCTGAATAGAATTTATTTCTATTTCTATCACCTAGAAAATTGTAGTACCTCTTTTTTTGAAGTACACAGGATAACAAGAGGTCAATCAAAGAAGGGAGTGCAAGGAACTTTTGTTCACGGTGACTGCTTTACACTTTCAAGGATTACTCAGAACCACCCTATGCCTGAAGTAATGCATAGTAACTGGGTG